CCCCCCCCCCCCCCCCTCCCTTATTCAGAATAGTAAACTAGGGGCTGTGCTATTCCACTACTAAGGGGGAATAGCTGAACTATGAGCACCCAACCCAGCGCAAGCAACAGTGGTGTCCGTCAACCATGCACACACCATATGCAAAGACATAAACATAACAAGCCCACATGTGTTAACATATCAGATCCACGGCCGTGTCCTTTTAGTGACTTACAGAATCCCTCTTGAAAAAATAAAAATTAGACCAAAGTAGATAACATTGTTGCAGTCAAGATGGATTTAACTGAGCGAAAGTACAGATTTCTTACAGCCCGTCTATCAGCTACGAGCAGTTGGTTTTGCAGTTCAAGGAGTGAAACACTCACCGCTACATTTAGTCCTGTCCAGTGTGTCTATAGTGAAAATCCTTGGCCTCCTTTGGAGATGAAAACAGGTGGATCTTCCCATCGTGGAGGATCCTCATCTTGCATGGATTATATTGAAACCCGCGGAACATTCCTTTATCGGCGAACAACTTTCTGATCGCGTTGAACTCGGTTCGCTGCCGGATGGTCTCAGCTGAGAAATCCTAGGCAAAGAAGAGTGCGTTTCCATCGTGTTTGGTGTTACTGTGTTTTGTGAAGCGGAAAACAAACTCCCGATCTTGGAAGTTCAGGAATCGGATGAGGACCGCTCTGTGTTGGTTTGGCTTTGGAGGTGCTAGAGTACGGTGAGCCCTCTCAATAATGAACGATCTGTCGGTCTCAAGCCAGCGCGGTAACATCTTCCTTATAAACTCCAACAGTGGTAGCTGACCCTCGGCGCCCTCCCGGAGGCCAAATAGCCGCAGGTTCTTCCTTCGGCCCCGGTTCTCCAGGTCGTCGGTCTTTGCCTCCAGGTAGGATATCCGCTTCATGGCCTTGCTGAGATTAGCCACGCTCTTTCCCATGAGCTCCTCCGCCGACATTATTCTGTTTTCAGCTTCCTCCAGTCGTGTAGCGTTTGCAGCAACATTTTGCTTTACCTCCGTCATGTTTTTCTCCAAAGCAGCAACTGACTTCGTCATTTCGCCCATACGGTTATCTATGCTGTCCAGTTTAGTTCCGAAAACACTAAACTCGGAGCGCAATGAGCGAAGTTCAGCTAACACCGTGCTAAGCTCACTCATGCTACTAACGCTAGCAGCTCCCTCGTCGTCGTCAGGCGTTGCCAAAGTATCGGTTGTAACTGGTTTTTGGGAACCACGTTTTCGGGTGAAAATATCACTGTCCTTGAGATTAGTCGTTTTTGACATTTTCCAATGACAGTTAAGTTTCTAGTTTTGGGTTGTTCTAAGTCTTTAGTGCAGGTTACACGGAGCAGCCACTTTATGCTGCCATCTTGGTCCACGGCTCCATAGCGCCCCCCTTGAGGCGACTCTTGTCGTGATTTGGCGCTATATAAATAAACTGAATTGAATTGATTCAGTCGGTAATTAACAGGCTTCTGCACAGCCTGATGAGCTGCTGCACAGGTGATTCAACCACTGAATCAAGTGTGTTGGAGCTAAGAAACCACTAAAACGTGCTGGATATCAGCCTTCCAGGTTACCCCTAATACCCCTGCTCAATATGATGCAGCTTGGACTGATTTTCCGGAAACATAACATCCCATTTCACTGCTATGCTGATGACACACAAATTTATTTTCAGGTGAGGAACAATTCCTCTTCCATCATGCCATTGCTGGTTTTAAACAATGTAAAATCCTGGTTGCCATGTAATGTCCTGTGACTAAACAAGGACAAGACAGAGGTCCTAGTTTTTGGCCCCAGTTTCTGCTGCAGTGGTGCCAATCTAGAACGTGGCACACAGAAACCTTTCAGGAACTCTGCGGTGAAAGGCCTGGGTGTGTATTTAGACTCACATTTTAACTTAGAAAAAACAGAAAAGCTGTGTTGTTAAAAACGGGTTTTATGAACTCTGATTGCTGTCTAAAGTTAAATCTTTTTTCATCTACAAAAGATTTTGAGAAGTTGATCCAAGCCTTCATCACCTGTCAGACTACTGCAACACTCTGTATGCTGGTGTTAGTCGATCAGCTCTATCATGCTTGCAGAGGGTGTAGAATGCTCCTGCCAGGCCACTAGAAAGCAATATCATATAGCCCCTGTCCTTGCTGCATTGCATTGGCTTACTGTTCGTTTTAGAGTTTATTTTAGGATTCTTTTACTCACATTCAAAACGTTGTATGGGTCCACCTTTCTTGAAGGCTTTATTGCAACCTCCTGCTCCGCCTAGGGCATTACGATCTGAGAGTGCTTGTTTTTTGATGACTCCAAGGATACAATTAGTGCGGAGAGGTGATCGTCCATTTTCAGCAGTGGCTCCCAGTCTGTGGAACCAGCTTCCCCTACAAATTTTCCTGTTACAGTAAAGTTACAGTAAAATACTGGCAGCTAGAGTTGCCAGCTTGAAACTGTTAATCTACAGTATTATACTTTCAGTTCGGTGGTTGCCACCATCAAGATATATACCGGACAATTTGCGTCCATAGGCTCGATTCCTGTTTTTGTGCCCAAATGGGAGGTTCCCACCACCGCCATTTTGACCGTCATGACCAGGCAATCCAAAAATGGGAAAAGAGGTGGAGCTATGGGTGGGGCTGTTGCGTTTTGAACACAGTTGGAACAACTGAACCAGTGTAGCTACTAGCTAACTTGTCTTGGTTGGAGGCTATCTGTTGTTGCTTAACTAGTGTTTTCGGTCATGATACATAAAAAGTGTAGTTCTAAGAGAAAAGATGGAACATAAAATGTTACACTCAGATTCACTTTGTTCTATACTCCACGTAATGCTTTTTGACACTCAGTAGTAGTGTTGTAAAAAAAAAAATCGATACCTAGATATAAATCGATACTAAAAGTGGTATCTAAATTAGATATTCCATCCCTGTGGTATCGATATTATGGAGTCTCACATATACACAGCCGTCTTCAAGTACACTGACACGCACGACAGCCAGATGCCGTAAAGCAGCCTCCGCCTCCCAGACAAACAGAAGAAGACGCCGCATGGCTACATTACAATTTCCCACGCGAGTTGTCTCCGATCCAAGTTTTGTCTGCCAAATAAATAAACAAAAACATAAACAGCGAATTTGGTAGGCGCTTCAAAGCCCAACTTAATTAGCATACCAAGTCCGACACGTAGTTGTAAATTCACGCTTATGTGCTTAAAGGAAAACTCCCGTTTATTGCAACCCGGACTTAATTTCTAGCATGCAGTACGTTTGTTTACTCACGCTGACAACTTTGGTGCTACTTGGATTCCCCGGGGTATTTAGATCCATCGGCGAATCGCCATCAGTGTATATCCATATAACGGGTGCGGACGGGCACCCATGGTGCAGCCTCGAAATAAGACATTATCTGCACCAAAACATCTTCACGTTGAAAGGTTTTGTTAGGAATCATTAACGTGATTCCCCTGTTCGTTTGGAGCGGGTCTGGTCTGGGATTTCTAGGCATGAACAGACTAGCCGCGGCTAATCTAACCGGCGCTTTTAATGACGTCACTGCCGTGCGCCAGTCTGTTTTTATTAAGATTACAGGTAGATGTACCTTTGTCCTACCGTGGAGAAATTCGTTTTCTCCCTTTATTGACCAACAGAGTTGTTCAAAAGTACAGAACAAAACATATGGCATTACAGCTTATGACAAAAATGCACCTTAAACAGAGTTTAAGCAGCAAAACATCACTCTGCAAATAGTGTATATATAGTGAGACAATTCATGATTTAAAGTGTTAACTTTCGCCAGTTTTTGTATACACGTTTTAAAAAATGCTGATACTTGAAAGGTTTAAGCACTTTACACACTTAATTCTTAACATTTAATTTTTGCAATATAAATTGAGGAATGTTATTTTTTGAATAAACTTGTTCAATAAATTGGTGTTTTTAAATAGTATCGAAATTGAGTATCGAGTTTTTTTTCCCCAGTATCGAATCGAGTTTGAAATTTTAGTATCGTGACAACCCTAGTCAGTAGAATCATTTGTGGACTGGTTGGGAAGGTCAAGGTTAGCTCTACATCAGCTGCAGTGGCATACATCTGTATAGGATGGACAACAGTATCCAACTATGAGTCGGCATGTGCAGAAGTGTTCCTGCAGGCCTCACCACATAGAGTATAATACAAATCATCAGGATTTCACTTACAGGCCTTCACAACAAAATAATTTCACCTACAATTCACATCTGAAGCTGCTTTAAAGCTTTTGGCATCAAATTGTATAAAATGTCTCCCTGTAAACCCCATAAACCTTATATAATTGGACCTTGTAGCAGCAAATCAAACAACCAAGCCAGCTCAAGCTAGTAACGTGCATCAGCAGAAAGTTCAACTTTTTGCCACAGTTGCTAAATGAGTCATATGCTAGCTTGCAGCATGTAATTTTGACTCGAAAATCAAAACAGTCTGTAAAATGTTAATCCAACACAAAGTCACATTGTCTTTATCAGACTTTTGCAATATTATATTTACCTTCTTAACAAAGCCTTGGGGCAGGGTGGATTGGTTGATGAGAAGGAGGTGCAGCAGGCGATGCCTCTAAGGTGCTCCATTCGGTTTGCTGCTTTCAGTTAAAGTTTGTTTGAATCCAGATAACAATGAATTCTTCTCTTCTTCTTACCGTCTCCTCCATCTTGAATAAACACACTGCTGTGTAGGCCTACTTTCAAATTCTATTTATTTTCTAATTGTGCTGATATGTCTAACTGAATGAAGCCATAACCAAGTTTTAACAGAAAAAAACAATATTATACCATTAGATTGTGGTAGCTCGATGTGAATGAACAGAAAATACTGCTTTGTACCATAAGAGTTTTTTGTTTCTCAACGATGTCAGAGTTACAGTATTCAGCTGTAGTAATGGAGAACGGTATACTACTTTGGTCTATGAGATTTGTGTAAATGCGCTATAGAAATAAAGTTGAGTTGACTAGAATCACTCAAATGTATCCCATGTTGTTTTGAACAGATGTACATGAGTCCAGAGCTGGTTCTGTGTCGAGGACACAACACCAAGACAGACATCTACAGCCTGGGAACCACCATCATACACATGCAGACCGGGAGTCCTCCCTGGGTCAGGAGGTACCCCCGTACTGCATACCCCTCCTACCTCTACATCGTAAGCTCAGCTCTTTATTTAGCGGTCTTTAGCTTATTCATCCACCCACACAGAAACATCTTAATGGAGTCGGATGAAGCATTTGTACTTTATTTATCTTCTACATGAACTAACTTTACCCACAGTAGAGTTGGCTACTTAGATTGTTTTTTATGATTAAAGCATTTTGAAGCATGTTTTAGCTTCTGTGTTTAAAATAAATAATGTCCTTTTAACCGAGTGGCAGATGTGGCGTAGAAATGGATGTAGCTGCTAGCCTGATGGAGCATGACTCAGCACTTCAGTCGTAGGCTGTGGTTAACACACACACACACACACACACACACACACGGGACATCTTCTTTGACTTGTGTCAGGTCTAAACTGTGAGGCGATAAATGGGTGAGTCTGTGCTTCCTTTGACCTACTGAGTCAGCCAGCCCTGCTGGAGTTCTTCCATGACTCGATTCAATTCAAGTTTATTTGTATAGCGCCAAATCACGACAAGAGTACTGTCAAGGCACTTCACATAGTAAACATTCCATTACAGGTGAGTTCATTAAGCCAGTCAGAAAAAAGTTGTATCGAGCAATCCTCATAATGAGCAAGCATGCAGCGACAGTGGAGAGGAAAACTCGCTTTTAACAGGAAGAAACCTCCAGAGGATCCTGGCTCAGTATAAGCAGCCATCCTCCACGGCTCACTGGGGAGTCTGGTTCTGCTGGTGGTTTGATCCTGACTGAATCAGACAGCGTCTCTTTTCTGTGTGAGAGAGTTAAGGACACGTGTTACGGGCTTCTTCATGATCTTACCTGTTTTCCTACAGATTCACAAGCAGGCACCCCCCCTGGAGGACATAGCAGCGGACTGCAGTGTGGCCATGCGCTCTTTCTTAGAGCGAGCCCTGGAGAGGAACCCCACGCTGCGGAGCTCAGCATGCCAACTGCTGAAGGACGAGGCCATCAACCCACCCAGAGAGGACCAGCCACGCTGCTGGAGCCTCGACTCGGCCCTGGAGGAGGCCACACACACGTTGCAACGGCAACAGAGCCTGCGCCACGACACCACACAAGGTAAGGTCCCAGAAGCTGAGCTTGTTCCCGTCATCAGAACCATTTTATCTGAAGGTGTTGTTTTCTCTAGTTTCTGCAGAATCCTCTCTTTACTCTGAAGACTCGGGCCACATCAGGAGGAAGGGGTCGCTCTACATTGACCTGGGAGCCTTGTCCGGTCACAGCAAACTGGTGACGGGACCCCCCACCTCTGAGTATAACTAACACTCTTCTACACATCTGTAAGCAGCCTGAAGAGGTGTTCAGTCGCCTGTTATCCTTAATCGGTCTGTTGGGTCATTAGGTCATTTCTTCCTTGTTGGCCTTATTTTAGAGGCAACGTCTACCCCAAATGTGCTTTTAGAGTAAGTGGGGCTCACAGTATCACAGTGGGGGTGGATGGTGGTCCGGGGACCACAAAGAGGGGACTCGCGGGTCACCACTGGACTATACCTGACTGTATATACTATGACTGGCTTTTTCAGCCATGGGCTTTGTTAGGTACGTATGGGATTTACTGAAATGTGGAAAGGAAACCCCAAGTTTTAGTCCCTCCCCTCATGTGCCTCTCTATGAGTAACCAGACTAGTTATCTGTGTGGACGGGTCTGGCAGGCCAGGCTAGGGTTTCATCCCTGGTGATGCTCTGGCGGGCCGCTACTGCACCTGTCTTCTCTTCCTGCTTGTTCTTGGGGCATTCTCTCTTCAGTTTTGTCTTCAGCAGGTCAAATGCATACTCGGTCGGATTCAGGTCAGGTGACTTGGCCATTGCATAACATTCCACTTATTTGCTTTAAAAACCTCTTAGGTTGCTGTTGTTTGGCAAACTCTATTGTGGCCTTCCTATTTTTGAGGCTCTTGCTGTGAATCCTCTGTATGCACCCTCGTGGAGTCTGCTCTTGATTGACACACACACACACGCACGCACGCACGCACACACACACACACACACACACACACACAGACTGGAGAGTGTTCCTAGTCTGGCCAACTCTTCATTTATTTCTTTGTAAGCACCTTAATGCCACCAGCCGAGGCTGCCCAAAGTGCAGTACCTGATAACATCATAGCTCAAATACATTAAAGTTAGAGACAACAACAAGGCCTTACTAAAATTGGATGATATGAGACATAAAAAACACTAAAAAACAAACAAACAAAAAAACATTCCAAGAATATTACCAGAAAAATAACAATAAAACCAAAAGATTACAAAAAAGTATAAAAGTAACTGGATTTGTAATATTGCTTCAGTTTAGCTTTAGCACTCCAGACAGAAGATGTTTAATGTCTAGTGGGGCCAGTATTGCAAAGGCTCGCTCTCTTCGAGACCTGCAGTTAAACCTTGACTCGACCAATAAATCCTGCTCTGCAGAGCGGAGAGGTCGAGCAGGAGCGGACCTTATTAAAAGCTCTGCAAGATACGGTGGCGCTGTTCCGGCAAGCGCCTGGAAAACATAAATCAGGCGTTTAGTTTCGATGCTACGCCACAGACACACACACAGAATCACCTGTATATTGTGAATGGTGTGCTGCAGCTGAACCGTGATTTGAAGAAAATCATGAATTGATCAGAAATGATAATTTTTGCCAGAAAAAACGAGCACATTATCCTGAAACCATTCAGCCCTAAAATGAAGATGTTTACATTAAATATTAAATTTAAAGTATCTTTCCGGAGTTTTCCTCTTTCAGAAATCATGCATGATTTGTGAGAAATCTGTAAAAGTGAGTATCTTATCATGTACTGTGGTATAATTTGAAGAAGAAATGATTTGTGTGTTATTCTTGTCAGCCACTAGATGATGCCATCAGAAATACTCCAGAAAGAGGCTTTAAGTCACTTTTTGTCTGTTCTTAGTTACGGAACCGCATCAAATGACCAGGGCTGCACTTCAAATATATTTTCTACAGTTTTGTTAAAACTATTTTTCAATCATTATTGATATCGACCAATGTGAAATGTTTTATCTATATGCTTTTCTTCTATATCGTCCAGCCCTACTACACTTTTCACCTAATTTAGATGAAAATCCCCTCAGACTGCACATCGTGTTTGTTTCATTTCAAATCCATTGAGGTGGTGTATAGAGCCAAAATGTCCCAATATCTATGGGCCTGGCTGTGTTTGCTATCACAGACTGTACGTTTGGTCTCACATCAGATGAGCGTTGGTACAAATGTGAATGCTTTAGATATCAAAGGAGTTCAAATGAAGGAAACTGGACTGCTTCGGTAAGCTTTGCTCCCATATTCCAGTTAGAATAGACAAAACTCCTCAGACGAGAAGCAGGAAACCAACAAAGTCCAGTCACCTTCATCTGAACCCTTTGGATTACCATCACCTCCATGACTGAGAACCTTCACCAGCATCTGCTGTAGAACAAAGAGCAGGTGTTTGATGATGGATTCAGACATGCTCTGTTAATATTCTGGTCTTAAACACACGTAGAGGCATGTCTGGTATGAAGTGGGCCTGAAGCGGAGATTATTTTTAAAATCTAACCTGTTCTAAGTATTTGTGGCCACAGACAGCTTTGTGGTGACATTTTTGTAGTCCTTTGTGGACTTCCTCTTGTTGGTTCCTGTGGAACATTGAACATTGTGGAACACGGTGTTTACACGGACCTGCGGAACCGGGTTATTGTGAATATTCGGGTTTTAAAAGGGTTACTGGCTGCATGTAAACGCACTGATTACTGTCAGCACTGCTGTATGCTAATGATGCTTCTGAAGCATGCATCAGTGATCCGCGTTTCTTGTTGTTTTAGAGAGAAGAATGTTAACCACTTTAAACAACAACAAAACCTTCATTTACTTCTGTTTTCTTTGTTTTATAATCAGAAAATCCAGTTTGTAAATGTCCGTCTTTCTGCTGAAAATGTAATGAAATAAACTCTCCACACCGGTTCTGAGGCTGTTTCATCTCTGCTCGTGTAAACAAGTCAGTAGCTGAATCCAGATACATTTACTGCAGCAACAGTGCAGCATGACAACATCCATTCATCGTGGGCGACGGTGGCACAGGAGTTAAGCGCTCGCCCCGTAATCAGAAGGTTGCAGGTTCGAGCCCCGCTCAGTCTGTCGCTGTCGTTGTGTCCTTGGGCAAGACACTTAACCCACGTTGCCTGCTGGTGGTGGTCGGAGGGACCGGCGGCGCCAGTGCTCGGCAGCCTCGCCTCTGTCAGTGCGCCCCAGGGCAGCTGTGGCTACATCGTAGCTCATCCCCACCAGTGTGTGAATGGGTGAATGACTGACTAAGGCCCTGTCCACACGTAGCCGGGGATCTGCCAAAACGTAGATATTTTTCTACGTTTTGGCCTGTCATCCACACTAAAACGGATCTTTTTAAAAACTCCGGCCAAAGTGAAGATCTGCGTTTTCTCCGTTTTGGGTGTCTGCGTGTGGACAGATAAAACCGGAGTTTTAAGGTCTGCAACGTCACTTTCCGCGACAAAAATGCTGACATCACGTGTGCGACCTGTGTTTACACTAGCCGACAGCATGGATGCCCTCAGAGCTGCGCTCGCTTTATCAATTGTCCAAGCGCTTTTTGCTTGTTTGTTTTTGCAAGCGGAATTACTGCTCCTTGCGGAAGACCACAGATGAAGGACGAGGTTAAGAACGGGGGAAGTACTGCCGCCTACAGGTCTGGCATGTCCTTAACAACGTATTTATCCGGGTACGTGTGGACAGAGTTTCTTTTTAAAACGAGGTGGTGTGGATGCAAGTTTTTGGAGGGGCGGATATTCGTTTAAAAAAAAACCCCGGCTACATGTGGACTAGGCCTGAATGTGCTGTAAAGCACCTTGGGGGGTTCCAGGACTCTAGATGGCGCTATATCAAATACAGGCCATTTACCAGTTACCATCCATCACACCTGCAGCTGCAGGAAGCATAAAGGGGGATTTGATGGTAGAAAGAAGGAAGGTGTTTGTTTTCTGGGTTCCCCATCAGTTAGCTCACTCATCAAACAGCAGAAAACTCCTTTTATGTGTTCATATTTCGTCATGACCAGTAGCAGCAGCAGCTATGCTGACATTAGCATCAGGGAATCCCCGAGACTAACACATTACACTGGGTCTGCTCTTCCTCTTTCTAACACGAGTGTGACTCGGACACTAGTCTGTATACCTGCAGCATTTACAGGAACTGACTCGAGTTTTCCACTGAGTACGACTGCTCATTACTGCCACTTCCAGGTGACAGGAGCTCCCGACTAGCAGTGTCTGCCTCCTATGGCTCTTTAGCTTTGACCTAGCCTAGTGAACTAGACCAAATTCTTGCTAATACATTTATTTAGTCTGGCTTGCCAGGCTAGCTTTGACCAGTTATGACATAAACGTTGGTAACGTCTATATTTAACATGAAAAAGATCCCTTTAGCTGTTTTCCTGCCCGTTTGTCCAGTCAGTGCGGAGTTTAATGCAGCAGAACCAAATTTCCAGCACAAGGAGTTCGTTTCATGATTAGGCTCAAAAGATAAATGTGCTGCAGTCAGAGGTGTGACCAAGTCACTGCTTTGCAAGACACAAGTAAGTCGCAAGTCTTCCAGCCAAGTCTCGAGTCAAGTCCAAGTCAAAGACAACCAAGTCATGTACAAAGTCAATAATGTGGAAGTCAAAGTCAAGTCCAAGTCCTTGACTTTGAATTTTCAAGTCACATTCAAGTCATCTGTCCAACTTCAGTTTGATGACAATGATAATAAACAAATTCCAGAATTAAAGCTTCGTTTATTTGCTCAAACAAGCAGAAACAGAACCTGATTGTAAACAAAGACCTGCTGCTTTTGTCCAGGTCGTGTCACTTTAGTGCTAAAACATCAAATATGCTCAAGTCAACAGATGCAAGTTGATTCAAGTCACAAGTCATTGGCGTTCAAGTCCGAGTCAAGTCGACAGTCTTTATAGATTTGATCAAGTCAATTCAGATGTCATTAAAATAATGTCTCGAGTCTGACTCGAGTTCACACCTCTGGCTGCAGTGGTCAGTTTTACTGTCGAGTCGGTGGTTTAGCTGCCTCCCTGCGGGGTTTTGCAGCCTTCTGATACAGAATGGTTTCTCTAAATCCACCAGTTTTTCTCCACCTGTCTAAAGTGGCTGTGCACATTAATTGGAGTCAAGTTATCATGAACAGTGTTGTGAGTAAATGCGTTTCAGTATAACTGTGTTACTAATGGCAGTATTGTTTTAGGTACCAAAATAATCTAACTTTTGCCATCGTTGCAACACCGTTATCGATACTGGGCATGTGAGGTGGTGCGTTGATGAAGCGCGGTGGCGTCAGTCTGTCTGACAGCCACATAGTGATGGGTCACGAACGAAGTGGCTCTGTACCCACTCCCCCCTCCTACCCTGAGCCACTGACAAATGGCAAAAATGTACACACACACTCACACACAGAGGCATGTTGTCTGTGTGTACATTTTTGTGTGGTGGGTGTAATATGCCTGGAACAATTATTACACAAACATGATGGGATCTGTAAATATTGGTGTGGCCAAATATGTGAAAGAGCAGGAAAGAAAAGTAAACAGCGCTTCAGAAAGGTGAGGAAACTGGACATGGCACGAGAAGACCAGTACGTAGGCAAGCTGTTTTACAATTTAATCCACAATTGCCTCTCTGTAAGTCACATTTTATAAAGTTAAAGTCTCATCATCACCATCACACACTGGCGAAACTCATCCCCACATTTGACCCATCCCCATGGGGAGCGGTGAGCTGCAGCACTGGCTGTGCTCGGGAACTATTTGGTCTTGTAACCCCCCAATCCAACTCCTAAAGCGGAGTGTCAAGCAGGGAAGCGCTGGGTCCAAGCGGAAACCCCTTTGGCCACTCCCTGAAACTCCAGGAGGTGATTAAAATGTGCAGTTCTCCCCCTCATCCACTGGGGGTGCATCCAAAACAGCGCAACTTGACTCCCATGTTAAAAATGTCAACTTCACAGCAGAAAAACAGGTTTACAGCCTGGAAATGAAGAACATTTCAGGTTTTATGGGTCTGGTCATCAGTCATGACACTCTGAGGGAAATGGATATTTTTGTAACTCATCTCTTTAGATATAATTAAATGGATTTATCCTGAAAAAATAACATCACGTTGTTGTGGGAGTTTAGTAACTTAGATCATGTACAAAACAAATGGTCTAATATCCGTTATAGCACAGCTGGTGAGTGATCTGTCTGCTCTCAGCGCTTACTCAGGGTCCAGAATCAGACGTGAGCATGTTCTAATGAGAGCCGGACTCGGCACCGGTTCAGCTCTGCTGCAGGAGGAGCTACTCCTCAGTGTCCCTCCTGCAGTTCTTTGCATCGGCACCGAGGAGCCGTGGGAGCAGCTGTGTGGGTTACGGGCCAGCAGAACCAGAGCAGCAGCAGGCCAAAGTTTCCTACTTTAAATTGTTTATTGTAACATTAATCCGTTGCTGGACATGCTGGTCAGCATGTTTAGAATAAATATTAAAGAAAAATGAATGAAAATTAAATTGTGAATTTTTAGTCATTATTTTATGAGACATTAAAATGACAGGCGGAGATGATCATGACCAGTTTTTAAACTTTATCAGTCAAAGTGAAAACACATATCTGGCGTGACCTCTGATGTAGGTCATGTTTCTGTATCTGCTTGTAACTAATATTAATAATAACTTGGCTACTTTTTACTTTTACTTGATTATAAACTGGTTTAAGTACTGCTATGTAACATTCCAAGGGGTCAGGTTTCACCTACATATTGACCACATAAGATAACCTTTCATGTACAGACAGGACAACACCGTCTGTCTGGCCTCAGACTCCCAAAACAAACCTCCGCCACAGTTATTGTTCCTCCAACACGTCACAACATTCTCACCAAGGTCTGATGCAGGAGCCTGACGGCTGATTCCTCACCCTAAATACAAATGCTTGAAGCTCCTACATGACTTTACAACTCATAAGCTTAAATAATCATATGTGTTGATTGAACAACTAACATTTGATTAGGTCCACATTTGCCCTGGAAATATTTCTTCTGAAATCTGGACCCAATAAATCTCAGAAAGCTCATCAGAAAGAAAGGGTATGAGGGTGCTGCACTGTTGAAGCAGTGATCCAACCCAAAAGTACCAGAATAGCTCACACAGCCAAAGCGCCAACCCAGCTCACCAGCTATTTGTGTTTGATCGCGTGTAGATTCTTTTCATTTTTACACTTTTCTTTGCACAAGGATTGTCATTGCCTCCTGGACGCCTACCTGGTGAAGTTTTCTGGGCTCATCCAACCGGAAGGAGACCTTAGGGAAACCCCAGGACATGCTGGAGGGACTAGGTCTCTCGGCTGGCTAGGGAACACCTTGGGATTCCTCCAGAGGAGCTGGTCCAAGTGGCTGGGGAGAGGGAAGTCTGGGCCCAGGATAAGCGGATGAGGATGGATGGATGGATGTAGGGAGGATGGATGGACGGACGGACGGATAGATGGATGGATGGACAGATGATGGATGGATGGATGGGCGGACGGACAGATGGACGGATGGATGGAGAGAGGGTGGATGGATGGATGAATGGATGGATGGACAGATGATGGATGGATGGAGAGAGGGTGGATGGATGGATGAATGGATGGATGGACAGATGATGGATGGATGGATGGATGGACAGATGATGGATGGATGGATGGATGGATGGACAGAGGGTGGATGGATATATGGATGGACTGATGGATGGACGGAGGGTGTAACAGTGTAATGTCCAGAAATGGTCAGGTTGTAAGTGCAGTTTGACCCTTCAGTATCTGGTCAGCATGGAGACAGGAGTCTGCATGTGTTGGTTTTAATCTGCTGGATCCTGCATTTCATCAGCTGGAGTTCAGAGCCTCTCTCGTGTTGCCAACATCATGTTCCCTCATAAAGGCCATCATCATCCACACAGACACAAGGACTAATTACAGTTAAGTTAAACGCATGACACATAGATATTTCTTTACCCCAGATCAGAGCATCCGGTATCAAGAAGGCGTGTTTTCTGAGGTTGTCTTGGTAACATCCCTTAACATGGCACGCTCTGATTTGTTAAGAAATTAGTATGAGAATATAAACACATAGCTCACTTTACGGTGAGTCAGTTCTAGAGGAAGCTACGGAAACGGCCGTCCGTAGTGAAGTCTCTTTAACCCAGAAGCAACCTTTGACACGCCGTCAAGGTTGCTGCAAAGCTGACACAGCAAACGGTTCCTGCAGAACAAAGCTGATTTTGTTCCGACTCGGTTCCATCCATCTGTTGTGACCCGGGACATCTCTGGACTGGAGAGTCGGTGCTACGGGGATTCTACGGCCCTCGGTGCCAGAGGTCATCCGACCTCTCTGACCTTCGGATCCACGAAGAGGGTCTCCAAAAAAAGGGTGAAGTAGACACACAGATAGCGTCTGATGCCTTTGTGATAATAATCAACTTCATAGTTTAACGCAAACCAAATTCTTTCCTTTTTACGCCCAGAACTCAGCTCGTCTAGATAGGAAGTTCTGATAACATCATGTTCACACATAGGCACCATACATCACATCACCTAGATCCATCCATCACAGTAAATATTAGTTAACGTGTCGTGTTTTAATTGTTTGGAAAATAAATTCTTATTTTTACAAAGCTGACTCTTTCCTGAATCAAGACCAAGTGTTTACAATCCCTGAATAAACAAAGAATCCTAGAATCTTCTGATTAAACATCCAAAGACCAAGCAGGCTGATGATCTATATGTAGATAGAGTATTACAGCTTATTAGTCGTGAGTAGAGGTAATATATTAAGCTCTTAAAGCACTACGTGTACCAACTCCTACAACAGCATTAACAGAAATGACAAACTTTGGTACCAATAAAGGATGGTTCTGTTCTGCTCCTCATACATCTAGACCAAGTTCTGACCCAAACCCTGACACACTTGTCACAACTCAGGAAAAGTTAAACTGGTCTAAATGTATTTCCTCCTGTCCAGCTCTGTTCCTGGTGGACAACCACCATGAGGTCTACTTGTGGCAAGGCTGGTGGCCTAAGGACAGTGAGTGTCCAGGCTCCACTCAGATTCGCTGGGACTCTGCCAGGAGGTGTGCCATGGAGACAGTCCCGCAGAGATGTTCGGAGACAAACCCAGCCAACTTTTGGTTTGTGTTTTTATTGATACTGTGTTTCTGCAGAAGAAAACGAGAAGGAACTTCCCAAAGCGTATCTGGTCCATGCCGGCCTGGAGCCACCGACTTTCACCAACATGTCCCCCTGCTGGGAGCACAGGGAGGACGTCGCTGACATCACTGAGATGGTCCGTGGATCCTTCTTAACCACACAACCAGGAGCTCTGAGATACTGGCTGAAATGTGTGTGTGTGTGTGTGTTTAGGAGGCAGATGTGTGTAACCACATTGTCCTGGTGGAGGACGTGTTGGCCCGACTGTGTAGGACCACCCACCCACTGGCAGAACTTCTCGGCCACTGCCTGAGGGAGCTCTACCTGTCTGGTGAAGACTTTCAGGTGAGAGGCTGCAGCTAGAGGACAGTGGAGCAGGGTCACCTGCTGCAGTCCTGCAGATCTGATCTGTTTCCTGTTCCAGCTCACCTGAATCAAGTGATGTGTAGCTCCTCATGCTACTGATGCATCAGAGTGAGGAAGCGTGATGTTTGCGGGACTGGAGTGGGCGCCCTCCGGCCGTAGACGATTTTGTGATCCGTGTCTGACGCTGATGGGAAGGAAGCCCTAAAGATGAGCAAACAGGAGTATGGGATCATGCCTGGATGGAAACAGCTGCATGCTTCTGTCACCTGCATCAGCCAGCTTCTACAGGGTCTAGAGGGTTAAATGAAGGGAAGAAAGGAGTGACTGTGTGAAATGAACACTACTCATGTACATATGCACCTGCCCTGTGCCCTTAGCCTGCCAACCCTCACCGTTCGCAGTGGCAGCAGGTGTGTCACTGCCAGACAAGGTCCTCTCCATGTTTCTTTGTGCATCACAAATAATTTATATTTAAAGCAAAGCCATGGATAAATTTATATATATATATATATATATATATATATATATATATATATATATATATAAAGAAATATTTGTTGTTAGACATAGATCGCATATCTATGATGTTGACTGCGTGTGTCCAGTACTGTTTGTGATGATTGGATAAGCAGTTTAAGCCTGATATGTGTCTGTTCCAGCGTGTTTCTACGTCTCCATCCTGGTTCTGACTCTGTAAATGGGTTTTATCCTGTTCTACTTCTAATGGTCGGCCACTAGGTGGCAGGGCAGGACAACACGCCTCATCAAGGCCATTCTGATCTTTCAGTTCACTGAAGAAGACTGTTTAGGGTTAAGCTCTCAAAACCAGCAGCTCTTCATTGGTTACTGGTTTGGAAAAGCCAGGCTTGATCTTGTAAGAGAAGGAAAACATGAACCAGGTGTGTGTAAGGTTACTTCATGTTGATTTGATCACAATGAGTAAGAGAGGAGAGTTGTTGTTCAGGAGAGTCTGGCCACTCTCCTGAACAGACACTCCCCATCACGTGCTCCTCTGACCAAGGCCTGCTCGCTGTCCCTCGGTCTAGGTGTCGTACCCGTGGGGACCGGGCTTTCTCAGTCCTAGCACCGTCACTCTGGAACCAGTTGCCACCCTCAGTTAGGCTGTCCCCATCTCTGCCAGTCTTTAAGAGTCACCTAAAAACACACCTCCTCCTCTTGGCGTTTCCAGAACATGTTTGATTTTGTCCCTCTTTTATGTTGAATTTATTTCACAGTTTTCATTGGTTCACTCAATCCATCCACTCAATCCAATTGTGTTTCACACATTTGTCCTGTACCAGAATGTTTAATCTATCTTGTAATTTGTATTTTGTAATTTGAATTGCTTTTATTGTTGATTTATTCAATATATTTACCTACAACTGTACCATGTTCAGCGCTTTGGGCTTCCTGACAGGTTTGCGGAAGGCGCTTTATAAATAAAGCTTTGATTGATTGATTGATTGATTGATTGATTGAGTAAAACCTGTTCTACATCTTAAATGCAGTACACTTTAAAACCTTTGCAACTTTTCATTGGGCCAGTCTCCTAACTGGTTCTGGAAGTGAGCCCAGTCAGGCTGCTGGTCCAGCCTTTAGCTCCACACAGTCACACTGAAAACCAACAAGCATGGACGTAATTTGGGGGGGGGACAGGGGGGAAATGTCCCCCCCACTTTTTCCAAAGTCAAGTTTTGACCCCTGCACTTTTTACCATCCAAAAACAATATTACGCTACGTTTGTGTTGAAGCCCATTTCCCATGAGTTTATACTGCAAAGATACCCCCCCCCCCCGTGTCCCCCCCACTTCTGAAGTGAAAATTACATCCATGCCAACAAGTGTTCTGTTGTGTGTGTTCTTGTACTTACTACATACTGAGGACCATCACAAGTTTTTAACCATGAGAATGAGGACATTTTTCAAAGTGTCCTTTGAGGGACGTTTTTGTGGCCTTCAAGTTTTTTTAAATGTCTACCAGTTGGTTTTAGAGGTATGGTGTGAATTAAGTTTCAGTCAACATTAGGGTTAAGGCAGTGGTACTCACTCCTGGGGTCTCGTTTATCAAACGTTGCGTAGAATCCTTACTAAAACCGTACTTAAGCTCAGCAAAAAAATGTACTTACGCCAAGGGTTGTGATCTATCCAACATGGAGTACGCACAACTGCACGCAATCTCCGCTTCATTAATCGGAAACTAATGAGAATGTTTCTCAGCTGCTTTTTAGTCACATCCCGCCCTCACCACGCCCACTTACTGCCAAAAATAGTCAATGCAAAGTGCCTTGTGGATCTCATGCATATACATAAGCCGGCTGTTGCAGCGCTCCGCCAATGACATGGCGACCGTAGATCAAGGCAGATCAAGGAAGCACAATTTCACAGAAGCAGAAGTTGAGGTACTTTTGGGTGAGGTGGAGAAATGAAAGGAAGTGCTTTTGCAAAACAAATAAGAGAAAATCTACGGAGTGGCACAGCGTTGCTGAAGCCGTCAATGTTGTGAATTCTTCAGAGAGATCTGTGGCGGATATAAAAAAATGGTCCAATCAGGATTCAACCCCCAGACTCCCGGGTAAAAGTCACATGCACTAACCAGTCAGCCAAATGGAGATCTTCCCTGTCCAAGTAGCCAGGGCGCATGATCAATCGGGTCACAGTGACACACACTGTCACAGACGCATGACATTTTGTCTCAACCTGTCCCCCTGCTGATATTTTGCATTCCGTATTCTGTGCTTCAGGCTGTGTGTGTGTGTGTGTGTGTGTGTGTGTGTGTGTGTGTGTGTGTGCGCGCACACGCGTGTATGAGTGTGTGTGTGTGTGTGTGTGTGTGTGTGTGTGTGTGTGTGTGTGTGTGTCTTCTCGATCCCCAGTGAGTCGTGGTAGATGGCTGCTTATACTGAGCCAGGATCCTCTGAAGGTTTCTTCCTGTTAAAAGGGAGTTTTCCTCTCCACTGTCGCTAAATGCTTGATTAGTATGAGGATTTGCTGTAAAGACTCTGACACTAGTCAGTGACTTGATGCAACCTGCTGCGTTCCTTATATTGGAAACTTTTTACTGATCGGCTTAATGAACTGGCCTGTATTGGAACGTTTACTGTGTGAAGGTCCTTGAGACGACTCTTGTCGCGATTTGGCGCTGTATAAATAAACTTTAAATAAACTTGAAACCATTAAATAAGCATTAAATAATCATTTAGGAATCATTAGCTAATAAATCCACCATGGGGTGGTTGTGAAGCTCAGTTAATCATTAAATCCTGATTTGTTTATCATCAGTTACTCATTAGGTAAGCCGATTTTGGGACCATTATTGTAAAGTGTTATCGTATTTTCATTAAGGGAAATTATTGTTGTTTTATTTTTCTTGTTGGCCTGTGAAAAATGATTTATGCAGTGAAACAGGAATTGGAAAGGCTACATTTAGAAGAATAGAATAGAAAATCACTTTATTGGGAAGGTTTGGTGTCACAGCAGCAATAGCATCCATTACAGCAGTAGAAAATAAGAATAGAGGAAACGACAAGAAAAGACAAAACAGAAATACTTCAAAGTTTCAAAATACTCAGATTAAAAATGCAAAAATGATGAATATAAACACAATTTAAGGAATAAAAACATAAAAAACTTGAGACACAGTAACGAATACCATTGATATCTAAAATTACTTGTTCGAGTTCCTGATTCAGAGTTTATGCAAAGAGAAGTTTGTTTCCAAATGAAAAGGTAAAAAAATATCTGGAGATAAAGGAAAATGTGCACATTTGTCGTGTATTTTTGAATAAATATTGATTTTGGCTCGCAAGTTTTTCATTTTGGCACAGTTGAAATTTGAGTTTGGCACCCCTGACCTACACACACACACACACACACACACACGTGCAGCCACACTCACAGGGACTGCTTGCCAGGCCAGGCTTGGTAGGTGTTTTCATCCTCCGTGGTGTGTCTAAGCAGAGATGACATGTGGATGTTCTGGCAGCTCTCGGCTCCACACCGCCGCATCTCAGTCTCTTACCAAGAAAAGCAGCTGCGGTTGCTTCATTTCCCCCTACTTTCTCTTCTATTTCCTTGCAGAGTCCTGTTCTTTGTTTTTATTGGTTGCTCCATTCCTCAGGTTGTTCCGACTCAAAAATACCAGTGGTGGTGTTGGTGGGGGTGCTTGGTGCTAATTTGGGTCTGCTATTGCCTGAGACGCCGGAGGGGCTCTCTGTCATCTCACGTTAAGCAGCTTTTCTGCAGACTGACATGTTTGCATAAAGGCGTGGTATTTAGAGCTCCTGATGCATCAGCTGAGAGAGGGCATCTAATTACACACTCTTAAAACAAAAGTGTCAATTATAATGTGTGTGAAGAACAGATGATTTGCGTGAGGGACAGGAAAATTCATCTGTGTCTCTGTTCACACCGGGATCCTTGACACAATTATTTTTGATTGAATGTCCATGTTGGGGGTGTTTGCATATTGGAAATTGGACGGACAGAAACCACATCCCTACCAGAGTAGGATCCTCCGTAGCTACTACTTACCACGTGACCAGCTCTATAGTGGTTTTCTCCTCGTTTACTGGTCCTTCTGTCATCCTGGAAGAAGGGTGTGAAGTTTGCTAAAGCAGACATTTTTCTTCTCTGTTTCTGGTGTGGCGGCGTTAGCTTGGTCACACAACATTTGTAGCTCTCTCCGTTGTACGTATGCTTTGCACACAAAACCTGTTTTCTTTTGCCGCCTGTTTAAAATAAGCACTTTTTAAACATCAGAATGTGTCTTTAAAGTGTGAACTCCATGGCACGTATCGAACGGAATCAGAAATTAGCTTCCCCTAATGCTGGTTCTGACTCAACTTTCCAACCAACAGCATTTTTAATCGTGTGATTTATTAAACCAGAGATGGATGCACAAAGGCATTAAATCATTTAAACCTGTGGGCATAGAGCGTAACCTATGCAGCTGTACACCTTTTGGGAGAATGGACTATTGTTTCTTTGTCTGCCACAAACATGTAGGTCTTTAAAAGCACTCCCTTCCCCTCCAGCCTCTGGTGACAGCTGTGGAAATCAGAACCGCTGCTCCTTCACATCCAGACGAGCCAGCTGAGGTAGGCAGGTGTAAAGCCTGATTTATTCACCGTGAGTGCCACACCAGAGTTTCCCCCCAGGACAACAGAGGGCGTAGCGCTTTTCTGTGGTATCCTGCCACCATAACACTCTTTTACCCGGTCCACAGTGTGTTTATATATTTCAGAGACTTTTTAACAAGGACAAATTTGTCCTTAAAGACCCCATGTGTGAAATCCATTGAAATCACGATGAAAAAATGTGACTCTTTAGCACCGTGCAGTTCAGAGAAAGTATTGCAGTCATGGCGGCTCACTCATGAGTTTGACTGCATAATCAGTTTCCAACCTGTGTAGGCTAACCCACACAAAGCTTAAAACAAGCTACTCGACCTCTTTAAAAAGCATTTATAATGATGACTGTTTATTAACCTACCAGTTCAGAAGGAAGCAAGC